AATACTGTACCAAATTAATGGTGAGAATATCACATCGGCATATAATGGCAGGAATTAATCATTGAATTATACGAATAAGATACACATCTACACGATTTGTACTAACGCGCGTTTTTCGTGCAAAACTGCCCGGATGTGCTTGGTGTATTATCGCGTCCCCCCTCAGCGCACATGATCAAAACACTGCCTGTCTTCATTCAAATGCTGAGTGGCTGTTACTAGTAGTTTATCTATTCTTGCCCTGCAGCACAGGAAATTGCTTCGAGCGGAGGAAGCTTTTTTGAGTTCCTCTGAGTTCCCTGATTTAATTATAACTATTTTGCTCATATGAACAAAACAAGGCAGTAAAACTACCAAGACCACTATCATAACTTCAAGAACACATCGAGATATGTAGCAAACAATTAGTCCCGATACATAAGGGGTAACTTCACGATGGCAGCAGAGGAATAGCCAATCTCGTAGTTCTCCGAGAGTAAAGAAAGTGCTGAACCGACGAGTCGGTGAGAATAAGCTCATCGTTAAAAAGGAGCTGTCATGTGAACATCGAAAAGAGTACCCGTAGACATCCTCAAATACCCTATAGAATCGATTCCTCTAATGGTAACACAGAAGACTAGCTCTCACGTAATGAATATGTGATTTTGGTGAGAAAGGTGATGGCGCCAACTAAGCGCCACCACCTTTTTCACCAGAATCGATGGGAACTTGTATGCGGGAACCATTTGGTACCCTCATTACCCAGTATATATAATTTGCTTCGTCCGTTTGTTTGTTTGCAGGAAATTCGGTTCGACCTGAAGAACAACTTGGAGAGGTCGGATCAAGGTGGGGATAGGTAGGGCATGGGACAAGATGTAAAGAGCACACATGACCTATGCGAAGCCCCGCCCACAGTGGGTGGGGCATGCGCCAAAATTAGGCGGTGCCGCAGAAAAAACTCGTAACTCGATTCCAAAGCAACCAAGAGATGGAAAAATGGAATAAGGTTAGCAAGGGGTTGTAAGGCTAATTATGGAGACCTTTGATCTGCACGCTTACCCCAGTACTCATCCATTAGTGAGAACCAAAATATATGCTGACGTCATTAAGGTGTATGGTATTCATAATAATGATAATTATGACTGCGTGCAACAAGCATTGATGGTATTCCCCTTGGTACTTCAATAGAAGTTCGTGACCTCGGCTTTCTTGTTAATTCTGATTTGGACTTCACACATCATATTAATGCTGTTGTTCGAAGGCCTTCACTACACGGCTCTCAGATTTGGAATCCTTACATCAGGCAAAAGTTGAAAAAGTTCAACAAACGTTCACCAGAATTCTAATGTACCGATGTTATCCCAGCCCGTTATATCCACGTGGTTTACCTAGCTATAGAGAGCGCTTACAGCTTTTCAACCTGAAGTCATTACTATATAGAAGGGTGTTTAATGACATTTTGTTCTGCTTCAAGTTACTCAAAGGAGAGTTAAGATTGAAGCCTAGTAAGTACTGGATATTCCGGCCAAGTAGGGGCCGTTCCTCCTCGCTATCCCTACAATGCCCGAAACTGAGCAATAGCCATCGATCTAAATATTTAACTCACTATTTTTCCGTGGAGCCAGATGGCTGCAGTCACTGCCACCAGTCCTACAAAAGGCGCCAAATATCAACGTGTTCAAAAAGAAATTGAAGGAAGTTGACCTACTCGCTTTACTAGGAATTGAGGATTTCTGAAATACTGAGGTGTGAAGAGTTTCCTGCTAATGTGTATTTGCCTAAATTTGTCGTTGTCTTTATTTTTATTCGCTTGGATGTTTTCGTTGTCCAACCAGTTTCGAGCACTTTGTAGCGCACCCTCGCGTGCATAGTAAATAAATAAATAAATAAATAAATTTACGAGATGGGCGGAGCGTACTTGAGATAGGCATTGCTTTCCACAAGGCCCAATAACTCGGTTTCCGAAAGAGTTCAGAAATCGCAAAAAAAATCTATGTAGTAGGGCATACCCGGGAAGAGTTGCGCATGCCTGAGGTAAGTTCAGTCCCGCCCACAGTTTGCAGGAGCTTGCTCTCATTCATAGGGTGCTCATTTCAAAAATTTGTAGCTTGGTTCCAGAGCACTCCAGAGGCCGAAAAAGTGGATTAAGGTCAGCAAAGGGTCGCCGGTAAGAAATGTGGGGCACACATGTTGTGGGCGGGGCCTGCCCGAGGTGGGCGGAGACAGACAAAAAATCTGTAAAACGGTTCCAGAGCACTCCAGACAATGCTAAGAAGTGGATAGTGGTTAGGGCGCTGTTTGTCGACGGGGGGGGGGCATTTTGTATTATCATTGCTTCCCTAGTTCCGGTTTACAAATCTCAAACTTGTGAACTCTTGTGAAGCTGAAGTAAGATCGTCTAGCCACTATCCTAAAACGTGTCAACTCGAGAAACGGCTGCCTAGATGGGTCGACACATCTATGGAAAGCAAAATGCCCCCCCCCCCCCCCCCCCCCGTCGACAAACTGCGCCGTGGTTAGAAAGGATCACCAGTCGATGCGGGACACATCCGTTGTAGGCGAAGCATGCGGCGAGGCGGGCGAAGCCAAACTTGAAAATATGTAGAACGGTTCCAGAGCACTTCGGACACCGCTAAAGAGTACAAAGATGTGCAGGAGCTCCGATATTGAAGCGAGATTACGCGCCCATTGTGTGCAGAGCTGCGAATGTGCAGACGAAGGTCAAAAATTCACAATTAGTTGCAGAGCAGAACAGGCACCGAGGAAAATGTAGAGGTCCACAAAGGGTTACGAACTGAGAAATATCTTAAAAACGGACGGGCTGTTCTCGAGATGGGCGATGCCTGCTGTAAAATTTCGTGGTTCAGATCTGAATGAACGAGGTGAGGAAAACTGTTAGAAGAAAAACATATAGCGAGAGTTGAGTTCCTTGAGCTAGAGGTACCTATTTTCACTGCGTTTAGTACATAGGCCGCCATACACTTGAACACCTGTCGTCACATGTACATTTAATACCAGTCGGTTCGCTGGCTGACGCCGGCGCGACTCCTTCTTCTAATACGGCCAGGCTTTGCCGGTTTTGCTTGGCTTCGTCGCGCCCACCTGCTTCCGTATGTTTGAATGCTCAACTAATACCCGGTTTCTCTCTCATCTGCGCACTTGATCAACGCTGCTTACCACCATTTGGAGACGGTAATAGTGTCGAAAGTAGCGATTGTGATGTTATTGGCCAAAGAGCGTTGACAGTGTGTACAGGGGAAAGGTAAGTCGGATAATTTTCAAATATCCAAACATATAAAAGGAGGTACGCGCGACGAGCCGCGTCCGTCCGGCGAAGCCGGGCCATATCGCAGGAGGCGCGATGGCGAACCGACCGTTTACAAACATGGCATTCATTCTTTTCGCCGACGCTAATGTTAGGCCCTCTGATCGTCACCGCACCACTATTGTTGAACCCGGTGGGAACAGAATCAAAGCAACCAAAGATAATTACTGGATTGTTTCTATTTAATGCATTTCTTCTGAACATTTCTAGGTTAGAAATTAACAGCGCGTGAAATTTGAAAATGCGTTTTTTGGCGTACTCTAGAATATCCGATACTGAAGAAGCTTAACGCTATGTGGATAACCATACTAAGGGCAAGCAAGCGTAGAAGATCGTGCGTGTACGAGGGCGACGACAGGCCGCAAGAACGGAGCAAATTGTTCAGGCCAAGTCAATTGAGATTATCTAATTCATTCAAGATTTTTCAAATAACTTCAAGTTGGTTGAATGAAAAAGATCTTAAAGATCTAGGAGTGTGTTTATAAATAGTTTGCAATTTGATCGCTCTGATTGCGCGGTCATGGTGACCGGTTCGCATTACACTCGCGAACACACGTGAGTAAAGGATATACAGCCGAGATTTCTTCGAATTATGAAGTGAAAAAAAACAAGCAAGGAATAAGTTACAAGACCCGGCACTACCGAACTATTACTACTCCGAAATCACGAGAATTTTTTTTGCTCAGTCTTGGCGGGATCTTGTGCCGTGATCGTGAATAGCACTTGTTTTCAACGCCAATTTGCTAAATTGCTGCCACCTTTTCCACCAGCATCGATGGACACTTGTATACAAACGTTATTTAACATCCTGATTATGTACATGGCATCCAGACGCCGACGGTTCTAGACGCTGACACTGATGTAGTACACACTGCTCATCAGCGCTCTTCTGAGGCTGACTCTGTTCTCAAAGGAACCACTGCTTCTTCACGCTCCAGGCTCACCCTAGCAGAGCGGCAAATGTCTCTGCTGTAAAAACTTTATTGCCACTATCGTGATCAGAACATCAGACACCCTATTTTAAAGCCCTTATTGGACCTGGTGAGAAAGGTGGCGGCGCCAAACCCGCCTCTTACCGCCAAAGGGGTCAGCGCAGAGACGAATGTGGTATTGGTGGTTATGACAACAAATGACCCCACCATGCAAGTTTATACCAATTCCTTTGAGAAGGTTGCTAGCGCTAAATGACCCCAATGCCAAAAGCAACTGTCTAATTCTCGACCGGGCCTGCGAGTAACCACTATAAGCATCTTTTTTTATTTACCGGGGTAAATAGTTCAGCAATAATTTAGTCCTCGAACAACTATCGTAGTAAAGTTGAATTTAGGTAAACAACTGAGAATGAGGGACTAGACAGAGAACGTACGGAGGTCAGTGGGCATTTGTTACTGACATTGCGACGGCCCTACATCACGCGGACAAATTAGAAAACTATCAGCGCCCAAATTAAGAAACAGGAAACTAACTTGTAGTGCTTCTAATGCGTTCGCTCATACGGAATCCAATCTTGCCTTAGACATGCAGCCACAAAGAAGAAAGCTAAATAAGCTACAGGTAAAGAGCAGAAACAACTTCGGTGACCAAAATTTGAGGTACAGTAAAGAAACACAGGCGAACATTTTCACGCAGTAGACTTCAAAGTCTTTACTATTTATACACAAGTAAAGCATTTTGTACAGAAAACAATGCAATTCTATGAATAACTATTAGTTAGTTGAAGAGCAAAATCACTGGGAAGTGCATCAATCGGTGCATACCGACCACTCCTGATAAGTTCAAGAAGTTTCCTGTAGCGTTCTTCGCAAGAGCCGTGTTCAGCTTTCAGCTGAAATGTCAGAAATCAAATTGATACAATCCTTATCCCTGAGACAGAGTAGGCATGGCATTTGAACATGGCATAGGATGAATCACTTCGCGAATACTTCCAGTGAGACGGCTATTGTTCTGTGAGGACAAAGAACGATTTACAACTGCTCAGAAGACATCTCACAAAACCATAGGGTCGCGTCACGTTCAATTCGGAAGCCACGCCACGCATTCTCAGGGAATTTTGGAAGATGCCCAGCTAATGCTAATTGGCCAATTTCTTTATTAAAGTTGAATGCATATGTCGCCACAGTCGATGAACATGATTACTCTGATTCAAGACACGCTCCGCATTCAACTGATGTCCAGACGCCTCCTTTAGACATGGAAGCCCTGCCCACGCGCATGAAGGATGTACTAGCTTCAAAAATACGTAAGGAAAAGGACCGCTCGCGACGAAAACACAGTCCCGGCATTGGCCCCTCGAACTTTCATTTTTAGCTGCTACCTCATGTGCGGGTTATTGAGCTACCAACTCTCTCCATTTCGGGCGGAGAGTGAGGTGTTAGAAGACACATGTTACGATCACTCCTAACCTGGGTGTGCCTGACTATCACCCCCCCCCCCATCCCCACTCGTAGCTGTCGAAGCGTAGCGGTTTCCCCGTCTCAACATGCGCAGGAGTGGAGATACAGGAGCGTAAACATGCTAATTTCTCCATGATACGCCCAATGTCCTTACGGCGCAGACTCCCGTTTCTGCTAACAGCCGTTCCGCTCGGCGCGTGTCGCGGCGCTCTAGGCGTTTGCCAAGTCCTGTATTGTGCTTTGGAATACAAGCAAAACGCAATTTCCTGATGCCGATAATATCTGAGATGTTGCTCATGCTGTAAAGTCCGAATAGGAGGTGATCAAGATGATAAAAGCAGAAATGAAAGAACGATTTGTATGATGTAAATAAAACAAAAATGTAAATAACTTAAGGAATGCAAAAACAATTAGATCAGAGGCGTATAAATTTCTGCAAACTGCTGCCGAGTTACGGCCTCCTAAAGCCATAAAAAATAGCTTTACAAGTGGGACGCTCTAGGCATTTTGATTTTTACTGTTTTTGTGGGATAATGCGCGGCCGGGATATTGCAGAAGCAGCACAGTTGCTCTTGAGTTCTAGCCCTCGTCATCATCTTCGGTTCTTATTTTGCAGCACCTCAAATGTTATCCGCATCAGGAAATTGCGTTTACTTGTATTCCAAAGCGCAATTACAGGATTTGGCAACAGTGCCCAAAAAGCGTCAGCGCGTTAACGGCTGATACCAACAGTTGAATCGGGGTTGCGAAGGTCTGCGCCGTAGGACATTGGGCGGAGCATGGAGGAATTAGCGTGTTTCACGGTCCTGTATCTCCATTCCTGCGCATGTGCGCATGTCAGGACGAAGAAACCCAGAATTCACCATTTTAGACCTCGGGCGTGCTCTAAATTTTTATCAAAAATATTTTCAGATTATTTCGAACTGGGGAAGAATACGGCGGAGTGATTTCGACTCATAGACCTTGAAAGATAAGAACAGTGCGAAGATAGAAAGAAGTGAATACCTTGCATTGCTCGTTCTCAAAGTTCTCATTCATCTCTGTAGATCTTTGAGATTCCTCTACTCTCCGCGTTACGTCGCTTTTAATTTTCTCTACATCGATTCCCAGCGGTCGAGCTGATTTCAGAGGAGCCTCCAACTGAAAAGCATACTGCCAAAATAGAAGGTCCATGGAACAGGCTTCAAACCATACAGAACAATCTCAAAAGCTCACCGTACGTATAAACTTATTCCTGCACTCCTCTCTTTTCATCTCAGCCAGGAATCCTGGGTACGATGCACGACATTTAATAACCTTGAAAAAGATCTAATATAGTCTGAGTCTAAGATGAAGGCGCCCAGAAAATCGCGAAAGTGCTAGTTCCTGATGACTTAGTGCCGCTGCTTACTAGGTAGGTTCAATTAGAATCCAACCCATATCTGTCATACAGAACATGGAGGCTAGAGAAGAGCATAGACGAAGATCTGCGAGTCACAGAACCTGGATTACTGGGTTTCCGGATTGTTGGACGATTTTCATCCTGGCTCGATTGCCACCACGTGCGTAGAACTGCAGTTACCTTCACTGAGCAATAAAAAGTGTTAGATTGCGTTCATACTTACGGCTGCATCCACCAGCGATCACGAGCGACCATTAACGTTCAGAGGGTCCGCCAGCGACGTCAGCGTAGACTAGCGACCATCAGCAGTCGAGATATAGACATCGATCTAGCGAACGGCAGCGTCTATCAGAGTCCGCCATCCACTCAGCTCGAAGGACTACGAATGTATGGATACCTAGCAAACACCAGCGTCTACCGTCACCAGCGACCAGGAGTAGACAGTATGAGGAACTAAGAGGGAAGTGACAGCTGCATCAGGCGTCGTGAAACTGTGGCGTGTGCAGCCGCACAATACGGTGCTCCTGGACGCTTGTTTTCGCTAGATTGACACCTACAGTTCCCTAATCCCTCGAGAGTTGGTGGATGCTGGTAGACGCTGCCGTTGGCTAGATCTATATCTACACTTTCCTAGTTCGCTGGCGGGGATGGCTGCTGACGGACGCTCAACGCTTGATGGGGGACGTAGGGACGCTGGTGGATGCTGCCGCAATGTATGAACGCAGCCATACTGAAGTAACATTTTCTCTAACTCCCTGTCCTTGTCGGAAAATTAGTACACAAAACGTCAACTATGCATTAATGACGAAATTCCTGCAATAAACCCCACTTAGTCACCAGACCTGTAGTGAATATACTTCCGGTAAATATCAAATCAAATCAAATATCTGGCGAGGAGTGTTACTGCCGCTGTGTTATGAAGATCTCCTAAGATCTTCTAAACAAAACTAACAACTGCAGCGTAAGAACCCAAGCGAAACTCGATCTTGAATGGTGAAATGACACTACATATAGCACGAACAGGTCAAGGAATTGTGAAAGTGCGGTACTGCAGCAATGAAATGTCAAAAAGCAAAGACTTGATTGAATCTGTAGCATGAGGTTTGTACACCGGCTTAGTACAATATCACTGGCGCCGGAACATAAGAAAATACCTGAATTGTAAAACTGCAAAAATCCATGTAAACATGGTACTATGGGGTTGGTCAGCTACGAGCAATCGCATCTGCTTTCACGGAGCAGGAAAATAGAAAAAACGTCTACGGATAGTAATATTACTATTACCAGTTCATCCAGCAAGCACACTTTCATGATAACAAGTACTGTATAAACACACAACAAACCTCTCCTAGCAGTAAGTCTGCTTCCCTGGTAAGATTTTCGAGTTCTTCATTCAAGACCTCGAGCTGCGTCATTTTGTCTGCAAACGATTAAAATAACATTTAATCATGGAGAAACAAAAACGAGCACACAAAGCCAGCAGATCCTGCTTCGTCCGGAAATTACCTCGAACTTTTTACGTATGCATTTTTTCGCCCGTTCATTTAGCAGCTTGCTAGCTCTTTTATCACAGGACTACTTCAAGTCGCCCTCAAAGAGTCCTCACTGAAATACATAAAGAGCTGCCCTGAAAACACCTGCAACCGTTTTCTAACGTCTTAGCAGATTCTCGTAAAAAAGGAAAAGCCTAGAGATTATCGTGAGACTGCTTTCGGTGAAGACCCTATACCGAAGTAAACTAATGAAGTATGGCATACTGACTCGGAGAAATTTGAAACAATTAGCTTGAGAAATCCGCGATTTCATGTTCTCATACTAATGGTTTCACTTTGAGCACTTCCCTGGTGATAACACCTGAACAGCCCATCCGGTCACATCTCCGATTTCGGGCACTAGTTCTAGCCCCTTCGTAAAGTCTTACGATGGTTAACCCATTCGCGACCAGGCGCGTTTTTCTAAAACGGCTTGTTCGGACCGGAGCATTTGCGAGCTCTCAGCACGTGTCCGCCACCAGTGGTGGACACGGTCCCTCGTGACCCCCTACTAGAAAGTTTTGCACTGCTCAACCTTCTGCTCCCAAAATCTTCTTTTTTACAGAACCATCGAGTGCAGGTGTTATTCCTCAGGTCACAAAAATAACATTCGTCTGTCCTCCGGTGCATTGGGCACCAATGTGCCCTAATTTAGAAGCCTATGGTCTTATTCTCTCTAGAACCGTATAACGCTTGCCATATTGAGGCCTCGGAAACCTTGGTGGCAAGGAGGTTTTGAGCAGAGCGGAAGTGGTACTCGAGTTCAAAAGGTCAAACCAACTCAGGAAACGACTGCTAAGCCAATTCTGTCCACATAGAAAGAAAGCTGGTCGAAAGTTGGCTTGGTTCCGGATGTCTGAGGAAGACTTGACACCTGACAGTGCCTGTAGTTCTACACCGGCGCATCGGCGCTAGGACCCACCTGCACTCGCCGTCGCCTTTTCTCGCTAAAGTCGCAGCTGTTCTGCATTCGAGCTCAATTGGGCGGAGGGGTTGGAGGGGGGGGGAAGCCGGATCACAAATAAGACGTTGGCTTTTATCTTTTTTTTGCATGAGCACCATGCAGCGCCTCTAAAAATGTTGTAGCTTGGAGGAGGCGTGATTCACTCCTCAAAGGCAAGCCCAGCCTCACCATCGCATTGATAACCCCTGTGCCCTACGACGCTAACGTTCCGGCTAAAAATGAATGTCATATCAATAATAAGGACAGCGAATAACCCTAGTATCCAAGTTCCCATCGTTCGGGTGGAAGAGGTGATACCACAAATTGGCGCCCATTGCCGCTGGAACCTGTAATCAACGCCATATTCGTGACCAGACCAACAAAAAGCCCCAGTATGTAAGGTTTCCTGGAGTTTGGTGAAAAAAACGAGCGGCTAGTTGAAACTGCCTGGGACCCTTACATCTAAGATCTCGTTGGTCCACTATTTGCATAAATGAGAAAGGTATGAAGACTTGTACCACTGGGAAAGATTCCTCGAAGAACTCGAACTGTTTCTAAAAATTTCATCGAAAGCCTGTTCGCCACATATGGTGGACCTGGTCCGAAGTGGACAATTCGGTGTCCACCACCAGTGGAGGACATTCTCACGAATGGGTTAATTAGGAGCTCCCTTGACCCTCAACCTCTAGGCAGAGACCGGCGTCACGTTCACGCAGGAAAGTTATACGTTTTTGCTACTTTCTATCGACGAGAGAAGCCATTGAAGGGGCGATTTTGAATGTGAGATACCAGTCAAGGTTTGTGGGACCACCTGCCATTTACCATGGTGCGTCGACGACTTGCTTCACAAGAGCTTCACGAGAGTTCGTTTCACAAGTGAGACTTGTAAACCGAACTAAAGAGCCAAGGAAAGTGCAAAATGATCCCCCTTGTCG